AATCACACTAAGTTAATGTGATTTTCCACACAATCATTTTATTTTAATTTTTTCAAACACAACTAATCAAAAATAAGTCATGGTTTCCGATCTTAAGGATGAATGGGATTGGGATGGGACCCAGTAAATCAGATGTTTAGAGCCGTCCGATTTTCTCTTCTCTATAACGACGATCAATATTTCGTAGATAAATGCTAGGCCCACCTTCTATCTTTTGATTCTTTTCTCACCGACTCCCTTGGGATTTGTTCGAGATTGTACAAGAAGATGAAGGAGATTTTGGTAAATTGAGACAAAAAAAAATCTAGACAAATTAGCTGAGAACTTGACAAAAGGCTAAAAAAAAAAATCAGGTTTACAGGCGCAAACAATAATATCATAATTATAATGTTATTTAAAAATATAAATTTATAATTTTACATAATAATTAATAAAATATAATATTAAATAAATATATATTATTATAAATAAATTTTTAAATAAAAAATTAATTGTATAATAATATATTATATTATATATTTATAATATTAAATAATATTATAATTATAAATTTTTAAAATTAAAAAAACAAGACAGAGAACCTGGCCCAGGGTCCCACCAAAAGGCTCGATGGATTCCTGCCAAATGCCCTCCTCTCAGTCAATTCTCGCGTCCTGTATAAATTTGTGGGGTTCCTATCCATGTGGGTTATGGGTGCATCAGTGCATAAGTTTTGTAAAATATATGAGATATTTTTTTTTTACATTAATTGCACAATAAGAAAAAATTTTATTTCATTTCTTATCTTACATCATCACTTGTATGTCATACTATTTAAATTTTTTATTTTTTGTTTTTAATAAAAAAATTATTATTAAATTATTTAGATTGTTAATTAAAATATATACAATTTTAAGTAATTTTAAATTGATTACTTTTAAAGTTATAAGGTGCTTTTCCTTTTTAAAAAACCTTAACACCATTATCACAAATTTGAATGGACATGTTTATCATGTTCTTGCTGTAAAGGGGTCTTCGATTGTAAAGTTCTTATCTTATATCAATTTTCAGTATGTAAGTTGAATTAAATATATAAGATTACACATAACTTTAATTAAGGAGTATAGTGTGATCTGTCCAGGTAAAAAGGAAAAAAAAAAAAACGTACTTTAACATTTTCTTTATAATAAACAATTAAATCCTCTCTTATTTCTCATTTTGTCAATTGAACTCAAACATTTAGGAAATTATTAATAAGGGTCACTACCGACTATTCTTCTTAGTAAGATACTTTGAGAATATCACAAGGAATAATTTTTTTTTTCTTTTTGGTCGGCAGGAAAAGATAACTTTAAAGAACATGATGATTCTCATACAATATTCTTCTTACAATATTATTTGATGTCCTAAATTACAATACTATAAGTAATTATTTTTAGTTTATGCAAGAGTATGAATTCACTTGTTTAAAGTCATATAATTATTATAAAATTTGATTTAAAAAACATCATATTTAATTTTAAAAATTAAATTTACTTATAAATAAGTGTTGTTTTATAAATTAAATTTCAAGTTTAAATTAATTTTATTAAATGTATTAAGTCAATGTGAAAGTATATTTTTAAGATTTATTTTAAAAAAATAATTTTAAGATATATAAAAGCTAACTTAGAAACTAGAATAGAAGAGTCGTCAACCCCTTTTTTTTTTTTAAATGTTGTTAGCAAAATAAATAAAAACTCTTCAAGATAAAACTAATATAATTAATGCATCGTGCAAGGGAACTATTTGGTTTGGAAGGGTAGGAGATGCCTCTTGCTTTTGCACTTGAAAGTGCCCTATACATAAGAAAGAGCATTCTCACGAATAATTCCCTTTTCTTGGGAAAGAGATGCATAAAAGGGAATCAAATAAGATAAAAAAAAAAAAGAAGTCTATTAAATTTTCACATTTATATATGTTTAAGGACCCCCAAATGCCATATCCTAAAAGCTTGACTTTTTGATTAATATATTGGTAATCTTTTTCAGATTCTATTCTTTTATTCTGTTTCTTTATTTTTCAATCACATAATAAACTTCAATTTTTTATCTAACAATCAAGATTTGTTAACTCTATGCCACAACCATTAATGATATAATAATGTATTTTTCTTAATTTTTTTAAAACAATTATTTTAAATTTTATTATAATTAAATCAAACAAAATAAATAATCTAATATTTTACAATTCTAACCGCAAAACACAATTATTCGAGAAAAAAAAAAACCTCTATACAAAGTCATAAACTAATAGGGCTGAGCATCGAGTACGGGTATATTTGATATTTATAGGTACTTAATTTGTTTAAGTAGGTATTTTATCTATATTTATGAAGAGAAAATTAAAAACCAGTTATAAAAAATACATACATGTTAAGTATTGAGTAAATATTGGGTATGAGGGTCAATACTTGCATACTTGACTTGTATACTTGACCTATATATACTTGACGTATATCTGACCCATATACTTGACCTATAATCTAATTTTATATGCTTAATTTATAATATACTGTTATGAAATTAAAATGTTTATGTTTCTTTTCTTTTCTTTGATAGTGAAGATTCAACTGAAGGAAAATCATGTAGATTTTTCTTTGTTTTTTTTTTTTTGTTATTGTATATATAAACTTGTGCATGTGTGAGTGTATATACTCATGTATTTTGTTTTATATATAAACTTGTATTATATATATGAATTTGTAGTTGTATATTAACTTATGTATTTTCAATATAAAATTTAACAAGTATATAAATATATCTGTAAATGTACCTATACCCAACAACTTGTGTAATGAGTATAAATTTTCAATACATAAGTGTTAGATATTGAAATTTTGCACCTATTACCATTCAAATTAAGTACAGGTATGAATAAATACCCGAACTATACCTACCCATACTCATCTTTATAAACTAGAGTACTCTAAATTGGGCTGCAACGTCCACTTCCACTGTTCCAGAGTCCAGACATAAATGGGAGCCCAAGTTTTTTTGGGCCCTCAATTGTCCAATTTCAAACGCGGGAGATCGACACTTTGAATTACTTTTAAACCCTTTCATTTTCCGTTTGGCGGTTAGCGACTTCATCACCACCGCCATCATCCGTCATCCATCATTTTCTTCCCTTCTCCGGCCTTCTCGTCTTCATCTCCGGCAACTTTCTCGCACAACCTGGCTTCGTCTCCTTGGCCTCTTGCAGTTCTGAAGACCTCTCCAGTTTGGTGGCGATCGGTTTTCCTCGTCTCAGACCCCAACCTTTCTGCATTTCAGCGGCTCCGTTCAGGAGCTCCTGTCATCCCTTTCTTTTCTCCAGTGACCTTTCTCTCTCGTTCTGCAGCTCGTCCTCAAACTCCTACAGTTCAATTCAAGCATCACAACCCGCCCAGGTTTTCCCCATTTTTGCTCCTCTCATCTTCACTAGGTTTCCTACTGCCCTAGAAATTAATACGGCAATCATTCTTCTAAATTAATATGAGTAGACTGTGTTTGTTAAATATTTTCTCTTTTACTGGAAGTTAGTTAAGTGTTAATCATTTTCTTGCGGAAAAATGTCACTCTTGAGATTATACCCAGTAAGGTTTTTCTCCCTTTCCTTTATCATTTGCTTGAATTTCAGCTTTTACTGCTTCTACATTGTGCTTTATAGTTTGGCTAAGCATGAATTACCATGAAGGAGTCTTAACTTAGCATCTAAGCAGGGTCTGAAGTTGTGGTTTGGTGAATGTTCTTCATGGGTTGGTAGTACAATATTGAACTTTCAGGTAAAAGGAACGCCTGTTGTGGAGTTCTGTTTTGCCAATAGGCGATAGCATTTTGGATTTTACGTTTCTTTGATAGATAAGGATATTTTCAGTTCTTTCCAAATTATAAGTGTTCCTTTATTTGCTTGAAACTTTTAAATATTGCATTCCCATCAGCATAATAACTTTCATCTTTTAAGTCAGTTCCTTTCTTAATAAATTTGTGAACACCTTTGTATATGGGGTGCTTGATTGTCTTTTCTTTTGAATTTTCGGAAGTGCAGTTCCTCCTTCTCAGTTTCTTACTATCAGGTTTTGTTTGAAGAGGGATTCTGCATTGAATAATTTAAAAGATGGGTTTATATTATTTCCATTTCTGTGTGAACTTCTAGTGGCTTCTTCTCCATTGTTTGCTTCCTCTGGCGAGAGTGAACATATTTGATACTACATCTTGAGTACTTGTCTTTGTGTAGCATTCTGATTTTTTCCCCCTGCTCCAATAGGGTATTAGCTTGGTTTTATGTTTTGAAAAAATAAATATTCTTTTCATTTGTCCTCTATCTCACTTGCATAAACTTGTTTTTATATTTTCTGCAATCTATTATGTTTTTCATTCTCCTTTTCTGTTCATACTTGAACTAAGATGTGTGCTAGCAGCTTGCAATCAGACTTCTTCTGCTTTTATTGAACTTAAACAGTCATTTCCAATAACTGAAGCCAAAGTTTGAACCCCTTCATAAAGCAGCTTGCACTCAGCTTGCTAAACCAGCAAAAACAGTAAGCCCAAGGATTTTTCTGATAAACTACAGTGCTTCATCCTTTCCTCACAGCTAATGAATACCGTCCTTTTTTCCCTGTGGTAGTGATTAACAGTGAAATGAGATGGTCACCAGCTGCAGTTGCTATTCCATCAGAAGAAGATATGAGAAGTGAAACTGTTATAAACTTAGAGAGGAGTGGTTATTCTGAGGATATTTCCATGAAAAGCCTATCAGCAAGAAGCAGTGAAAATAGGAAGAAAAGGAAGTTGGATAATCAAAAATCAAATGAGAAACAAGTTCAAGGCAAGAAGGCAAAACTGGGGACTGCAATCTACATGCAGAAGCAGTTAGATTGCCTTATTAATGCAGTTGAAAGTTATTGCAGGATTGATGCACCAGAATGTAGCAGCACTTCAGAGTGCATTACTTTATTGCGTGGCCTACCCGGTGTTGAACCATGTAACGAGCCCTTTAAATTAAGCAGTCGCTTATTTCTGAAACATGAATACAGAGAGATGTTTCTGGCTATAAAGAACCCAGATGTGAAGCTTTACTGGCTTAAGGAACAGCTAAAATTAAAAGGATGGGCATGTAGCATTGCAGAATGCATGACTTTATTGAGTAGCCTTCCTGGTGTTGAACCATGTGACGAGTTGTATATGTTAGGTACCCGTTTGTTTATGAAACGAGAATACAAAGAGATGTCTGATGCTCTGAAGAACTCAGACGTACAGCTTGACTGGCTAAAGGAAGAATTGAAAAAGGAGGCTAAGGCTACTCAAAAGAAGTGATAAATGTACATATTTCTGTTGTTCCTTGGGTTCGACATGGTGGTAATGCTCCCTATAACGTGATTCAAAGTCTTAATTGTATGTTTTTGGGTATTGTTTGATGTTACCGTGATGTATTGATGCTCAACTCCTTTTTTTCGGCCTTCGATTATTAACTTCTTAGTTAAAGATTTTCCCTTTAATGAATAAATTATATTATTATGACTAAATATATTATAACCAATAATAGATAAAGGGCAAAAAAATATATATTTTTTTAGGTTGGATTGGAAAAAAAAATTATATATACATATTCTTATATTTTTATAAAAGTAAGAATATAAGCATTTTAGTTTCTTTTTTTTTACTTATATTTTTTAACTAATCTCATATATTTAAAAATTATATTGTATCGTGATTAATTTGATTGGTCTTATGATGAAATTCTTTCATTGTTTATTTATCTATTTATAATACTTAAATTTAAGATTTTAATTAAGAAAATTTAATTTTTTTATTTAGATTAATAAGTTTGTTAGTTTTTTTTTTTTTATAAATTTTATTAAAAAGAAATAATTTAAATATCTATTCGTTCAATTATTTTGCAGTTGGGCTAAGTAAATCTCCTCACTACTCACCACTAATCTTTGTTCCAAACCCTCTTTTATTAGCTTGAGGTATACAGGAATTCAGTGGCTCAGCCAATGCATGAGAGAGTCGGAAGAAAATGCTGAGATCAAAAGCATACGTGCACGTCACTTCCCGCCATATCACTCTTTCAAAAACCCAACCAATTCCACAGCATCAACTGCCTGTAGTGCAGAAGCTCTTGTTGCTCTTGAAACATTGCTCATCCATCAATTCCCTGCAACAAATCCACACACAAATGCTTATCAACTCAGTAGACAAACCCAACTTTCTTCTCTCCAGAATCATCGACCTCAAAGACCTCACCTATGCCTCCCTTCTTTTCTCCCGAATCCCCGAACCCGATGACTACGCCTTCAACGTTATGATCCGTGGCCTAACCACCACATGGCACAACTATTCTCTGGCGCTTCAATTCTACTACCAAATGAGATTTTCGGGCTTGAAACCAAATAATTTCACATACCCATTTTTGTTCATCGCGTGTGCTAATCTTTTAGAGTTAAGTCATGGGCAGGCAGGCCATTCGTCTGTGTTTAAGATTGGGTTGGATAGTGATGGTCATACCATGCATTCTTTGATTACAATGTATTCTCGATGTGGAGAATTAGGTGGTGCTCGTAAGGTGTTCGATGAAATTCTTGAGAGGGATTTGGTGTCATGGAACTCGATGATTTCCGGGTACTCGAAGATGGGCTATGCGAGTGATGCAGTACGGTTGTTTGCTAAGATGATGGAGGAGGGGTTTATGCCTGATGAAATGTCTTTAGTGAGCTTTCTTAGTGCCTGCGGGGACTTGGGAAATTTAAATTTGGGGAGGTGGGTCGCTGGATATATTGTGAAAAATAAGATGGAAGTTAATTCTTTTTTGGGTTCTGCGTCAATTGGTATGTACGGGAATTGTGGGGATTTGCTGTCAGCAAGGAGGGTATTTGATAGAATGCAGAAAAGGGATGTGGTCACTTGGAATGCCATGATCACCGGGTAAATAAATCTTTTCCACGTCTTATACATCACTGACTGGTTTGAACAAAAGTTACGTTAAACAAATGGGGCTATCCAGTTGTCTCTGTAATACAAATCTTTGCCGAGAAAGTTCTTATGATTGACTTGAATTCACCTTCTCATATAAATTACAATAGGAAAAATCCCTGCTATTCCAATCTTTTTCTTAGCTTTTTTTTGTAGTAAAATGATATCTGCCATACCATTCTTCTATGATAAACGAAAGTAAAATTCTCATATCATAATTGTTTCTGCAGATAATGAAAGCGAATTTTCACCTGAGTTATAAGTAGAAAAACTACTACTTGCTTTCTAAGTGTTTGTCCTGTATAATGTTGATCAACTCTGGTTACCATCTTGAGAATCTTTATTGCCATACTCCTATTGCTAATGTTGTCAGCCAAACTAGGTTTGAACTATATCTAGAGAGGCTTATTTACTAAATTTAGATCCTATTTTGTTGGTTCTTTTGTACAGATGATGGACATTTACCTAGCCAGGTTTCATTGCAATGCATATTTTGTTACTTAGGCCCTATTCATGCTTTCAACTTTCACTGACATTACAATGCACTTGAAAAATGCATTTTAAGCTTCAATTTTTTTTTTTTTTTTGGGAAGTAATTGCTTTTGTAGATTTTTTCTTTACTAGCTATTTCAACTATATGCAATAGGTATGCACAAAATGGGATGTCAGATGAAGCAATCAAGCTGTTTCAAAGCATGAAAGAGGCAGGAGTTAAACCAGATATGACCACGTTGGCCAGCGTCCTGCCTGCATGTGCCTCAATTGGAGCCCTGGACATAGGAAAATGGATTGAAACATATGCATCAGAGAGAGGCTTACACCACAATATCTTTGTTGCTACTGCTTTGCTTGATATGTACGCTAAGTGTGGGAGCTTAGACAATGCTCTAAGAGTTTTTGAAGAGATGCCTGTGAAAAATGAGGTCTCTTGGAATGCAATGATCTCTGCCCTTGCTTTCCATGGGCAAGCCCATGAGGCTTTATCCCTTTTTCAGCGCATGTCAAGAGAGGGTGCTTCCTGCCCAAATGACATTACTTTTGTAGGATTACTTTCGGCATGTGTGCATGCTGGGTTGGTTGATGAAGGCCAGCAATTGTTTGATTTGATGATCTCATCATTTGGGTTAACTCCAAAAATTGAGCACTACTCTTGCATGGTTGATCTTTTGGCACGTGCAGGACGACTTTATGAAGCTTGGGACTTCATTGACAAGATGCCTGGAAAACCAGATGAAGTTGTGTTGGGGGCACTACTCGGTGCCTGTCAGAAGCGCAAGAATGCAGATATAAGTGAGCGGGTGATGCAACGACTTCTGGAAATACAGCCTTCAAATTCTGGCAACTATGTTATCTCGTCAAAGATATTAGCAGATTTGAAGAGGTGGGATGAATCAGCAAAAATGAGACTGCTAATGAGACAAAGGGGTGTCCCTAAGACTCCCGGTTGTAGCTGGATTGAAATTGAAGCTGAACTGCATGAATTTCATGCTGGGGATGATTTACAGCATTCTATAGGGACGCATCAAGTGCTTAATTTGCTGATTGAGGAGATGAAGAGGGAAGGTTATGTTCCAAATGTCAAATGTATATAGGGAAGAGAAAAAAAAAATCAAGAAATACCTTTCTCATCTTATGAGAGGTTGAGTGATGTGCCTGGAGTTAATATTTTGTGAGGTAGGTCTATTTGGTGAATTAAAAAAAAAAATGATTTATTCATAATCTTTACTCTTCTCCTCAGTCATAAAAAATGGAGAAGTCTTAACGTTTCTTTCTCAGAAACGATAATTTTTGTTTGATTTATGTTTTTATCATCAAATCTATGTTTAGAAAATGGTAAACAAGCATTAGAGGTGTGCTGAATTATTTTGATGCCCCTTGATGATGCTATCAGATGTTTCATTCTTAAGCAGGATATTGAAATGAAGGAAATGTAAACTGCTCTTGTTCTCAAGAAGTCCAAGGAAAACTTTGAGTTTGAGTTGTTCTGTTTTTTGCTCTTGACCTGTTGTATATGAAATTAAGCATGGTTAATTTCAATATATATTGTGTCTTCTCTTGGTTACTGCTCTTTCGGCTCAGTGTTCTTGATGTGATTGTGTTCTCATTTTTAACATTGCAGTAGAGAGACATGCAAGGGACAACACGCCACAAGAGGAAATTAAGGCATAACATGAACCGCTTGGAAGTTTACAGGTTATGATACATGCAATCAGGCTTCTCATTATATGCATACTTTACATGACAGATGCACAAGAAGGGATTATCAGATGAAGAATTAAAGCACCAGTGGCATTGTCAAATCAGGCAGCACTGGCATTTGCATGAGCTCGGATTCTTTGCTAGGGAAGTGGGCTCATGTCTGTGCATGATCAAGGACCTTCTATCCTTTTCACCTTAATCTTGTTATATATTCAAAGCAAGTGTTCAGAAAATTGCCTTAGAGCTGGTATAGATTCATATTTTCAATTTCTGTGACTTATGTTCCTTGCTCTTCATGTACAGGTTCAGAAGGCTTGATTACTGTTTACTGAGTAGCTACCAGAGGTGGTTGTGGTTTCCATCACCAAATAAAATCGCACTTGTTAGTGGTTGCTATCCGCATTGTATTTTTGTTGTCTTTTCAGTATGTCATTTGGAATGGCCCAGAAGAAATAAGGTATTATATCCTTGCACGGTTGATCTTCTGATGGTTTTTTGAAAATATCTTGGTCAGCTCACTTGCATATGAGAATTAGGTAATTTCTTACGAATTCTTTAATCTTAGGGCACCTTTGTTTGAACTAGAAAAATGAAATCTATTACTGTGTTCAAGTTGGTTCAGAAAACTACTTTCCCTTAAAAGAATAATAATAGTAATAATAATAATAATAATAATAATCAAAACTAGGACAAAACTTTTATAAAGCAAGACTTGAGTCAAAAGAGATCAATCGTCCCAGTATTGCACCATACAAGCATTGTGACGTCTGAACATTCTTGCCGAATGTTTGTAGCCAAGTGAAAATCATACATGATTCCCACCAAATTGTGACATTTTAGCATATATGATGAGACAATCTGTGGTGACTGTCCATTGAGTGTAGAAAGAAAGGCGTAATGCAAGATTTTGATGTTGATTTGGTGACCCCATTATTTTGCTATCATTACACTTTATTTAGAAATGTAAAAGATTGTGAATTGCTGACACTCTCCACTACCCCTTGTGTTATTGTAATTGTGGCCACAAATCCTTCCCCCTCACCATTTCAATGTCCCTTTTTCTTCTTGATATCTCTGCCCTCAAAATCTAGTCTTTGGCTTTCTCATTAGGGAATGTGGGATCTCACCATTACCCCACCTTTTGTTTTGTTTCACCTGCAAACAAGGCTTTATCGCCAATAATTGCAGGGTGCACTATCTCCAAATCATTTAATTGGCATATCTCCAATCAAGGATATATGCCCTAAGTTTGTCTTCTCCGTTATTGATTGTGGCATTTATTTTTTTATTTTTGTTAAAAAAAATGGCTTTAGATAAAATGCCCACCCATAAATGTTTCTTTTTCTATAGACATAATGTTTAGAACATCGATGAGATAGGTACCTTGTGTTGCTAATTGACAAATTACATGTTTTACTAGTAAAAAAAGTGTTTTTTAAGTTGAGCTAAATTTTAAAGTGTTGTTTAAGAGCTGAAATTATTAAATTATCATTAAAGTCAGGTGGGATTACATTTGAAAGATATTACTAAATCATTCATTAATGATAATTTAGAAATTGGATATACAAACTGTATTTTCAATATACAATTCAAAATGAAAAACATGAATTCCTCACAATTATTTCTCTGCCAATTCATTGTTGTTTTTAGTGGATGTCGAGTTAGATGGCATTAGCATTAAAGTTCTAGAAAATTATTTAATTCATATTTTAAACAAACAAAGAAAGAAAAAAACAATCATTCATTTATTATTTGTCTGGTTTTAATAGTTATGAAAAAAAAGAGTCATCGAGCGTTTGTTTTAACTTTTTAAAAATAGTTATTAGTTATTGATTTTAATTAAAATAGGTTAAATATTTTAAATTATAAATATAAATAATTATCAATAGTAAATATTAATTATTAGATATCAATTATTTAAAAAAAAAATAATCCAAATAACTTAATAAATTAAATATTGTTAATCTTTTGTTATATGTAACCGTCATATGATATAAAAAAAAAATCCCAATTTTATGGGAACTTATAAGTGGTATGAAAGGAAAGTTGTGGTGTCGGCAAAAGTTTGGTATGCACTTTTGTCGCTAAAATGCAAGCAGGTGGTGGAACAAATATGAGTTCAAATTATATACATATGTATAATATCTGCTTCATAAAATATCAAGATTTGCATGCTTTAAAATGCATCCATATCTCCCAAACTTTGCAAAAATGGTCTCATAAATGATTTCACACACTTTTTCATCACTTTGGGATTCCATGTAAGATATACATTAGTAAATATTTTTCTATTATGAATGATAAGGACTATTTGACACTCGTAAGTAAACTAGCATATTCAAGTTGAGAAAAAGTAGGTCATATTTGTCGATAGGCGATTAGGCATGCACGCTATGGCAAAAGATAGAGGATAGCAATCTAGGTACTTAATTAACTACAAGCATTGTTAGGCATAGTAATATTCACACTAGTTATAGTCCTAATAGGTATTCTTATGGCCAATCATTGTGTGGCTCAAGTGGTCATACTTTTCTTTAAGAAGTAAAGTGATGGCATCCCTAGTGACATGAAATTCGAGTTTTGAATTTGATATTCCTCCATCTCCTAAAGAACAGATACTAATATTATTAGTATAATTGCCACCTCCAGGAAAAAAAAAAAGTATCTTTATGGCATAGGAATATGAAGATTAGATTCTTAGAAATTAGGTAGAATGATGCATCTATGCTTTAGATCAAATACCATGGAATATCAAAGCTTTTTTAGAAGAAAATGGGTATTTTGGTTATGGTGGAAGTATTTAAAGGTCATGTGAAGGAAGGAGAATTTGCATCTATTTCATATTTTAGAGGATGCTATAATTTTAATTAAAGGCAAAACAAAAAATTAAGTTTTGGTATGTCAAGACTTTCATCAAGTCATCAATCACGTGGATTTCAGTTTGAGGTCCACGTGATGGACAGCTTGATAGATGTCCTAACATGACAAGACGTCTTGAAAATCTGAGAACCCTTAATTGAATTTAAAGTTTTAAAAAAAAGAACTATTTATTGTTTGTAGAGTTCATTATTAGATGAACTAAAAAAAAAGGGTAAATCTTTAGCATTTGTTCCAAAGCACATGGGGGCAATTTCATCTAAAAATTCTATCTTTTGTAGTCTAAACAACAAAACAAAAACCGTTAGATGAGGATAGCTCAAATCTTAATATTTAAGGTATACAGTTTAATGAAATCCGAACAACGCAATACATTTTTGTTCATCTAAACAGTGAGACGTTTATGGCAAAGTTTAGGACTAAATCGTTCAGTGGAGAGTATAATGCCCTCGTCAAGTGCCTTTCATTTCATGGACGTGCGGGCTTCAACTTGGGCCACTACTGGGAGAACATGGGTAAAGCAAATGGGTTAGATCTTTGACCTACCCAGAATTGAAAGTGGGCTCCATCCATGGTGTGGGAATTGGGAAGCAAACATAAGAAAATCACATTAATCTCAAATATAAATAAATCATAAGAAAAAACTATCATCAGCTTTTTCATTAAATGAGATTGGGAATTGGTATGAATTCATTTGTTTGATGTCATATCAGATAAAATTTTGTTAATATAAAAAAACTCCCGTATGAAGTGGAGCATAATTTTGTAGACAAAGTTAGGTAGAAGTAAAATCGTAGATGTCTCTCAAAGTGGAATATGAATAGCCTGTAATTAATTGAACCGATGCTAAAGAGAAGATACATGAACAAGTAAAGTATCAATTTACAGGAACACGTAAGAATATATATATATATATATATATAAAGGAGGCGCATAAGAACCCACCGGTGGAATTGGATTCTTACTCAAAAGAGAAAGGAGTAAATTTTAAAAATATAAGTAAAGGATTTTTTTTAGTATATGAGGAATAAAAGGTTGTACATCAAAAAAGAAAAGATGAAAAGTTAATTAGTGTATGCTTTAGTGGAACACTAAAGAAGGACATAACCCAACTAAAACCAAGTCATTTTCACACAAGAAAATTCACCACTAAGTCTTTTTCTCTTATAATAGTTTTACTTTAAGATGGGTTCATGGTTTGAAACTTTGACCATGAATTTCTCGAATTCATGGGGGCCAAAAAAAAATTTTTAAGTTGAAACATGTTGAAATATTTAAGAAGCTGTCGATGTTGAGAGGTACTCTACATGAAGAGTGATTGTCAAAATCAAAGGGAAGGAAAAGAAAGGTACGACTTTTTTTGAACGGACGGTTCTTTCATTTTCTCAAAATCAAACGCTGCATGGGAATTTTATCTAAAATTTTGCTTTTTAATTGAAAGTTTACATTATATAAAATAAGTTTTAGAACATTTATTAGTACACCTTTTAATTTAATACAATGCATAACATATTTATTAAAAAAATTTATTATTTTTAAATTAAAATTAAAGACAAATAAATTTAAAAATGTAATTATATATATATAATATGTTGAAATTTACTGAATTAACTATATTTATATCATATTTATTGATTGAATTGGATAAGTACGTACTGAAAAGATGTATTAAATTGGAGGGT